TCGTCCTGGCTCGTATTTGGCCACCCCGAGTCATTCTCTTAGCCAAAAGAACCCCCGCACTGTCTATTACGGACGGCCGCCCCATCACAATCCTCGGCTACATTAGTCGACTCACCTCTAAAATAGTGGCGGATCAGTTACTCAGTCAATGGGCGCAGACATGGCCCAGCGCCATCTCCGGTGGACTGCCTTTTCGCGGGGTTCAAGATATCACTTTTCTACAACAATTTCAAATTGAACAGGCCAAAAAACGGACTCAACCCTGGAGAGGGTTTACCTTGGATTTGATCAAGGCCTTTAACCTCCTCCCACGTCGCGTCTTATATCACCTCCTGATACATCATGGTGCACCATCAGAGGCCATCCAATTTTGGTTTACTAATCTTCGACGCCTTACGAGGCGCTTGCAAGTTCGAAATAATGTCGGCCCTTCCATGTCAATGACCACCGGAGTCCCAGAAGGTGACAGTCTGTCCGTGTGTGCCATGCTTGTGGTCTCCTCAGCTTTTTACTGGACGATTCACTCCCCCACTGTCTTCCCTTATGCTTATGCTGATAACTGGTCTTATTTGACAACGAATCAACGTGACAATATCGGGTGCAACAGCTAGTGGAAGCCCTTCGTATGCAAATCGATTACAAAAAATCATGGGCTTGGGGCTCTACCATGGAAGCCCGCAAAGACTGGAAAGTTTTTCTGGACCTTTCCTTTCCCGACTCTAACCACGTCCAGATTTTGAACTCGACGAAAGACCTAGGCTGTATGACGCATTACACCAATCATATCGTTCTTGGTCATTTAAAGCAGAAGATTCAGAACGCGGCCCAACGGTGCCGTAAAATCCGACGGTTTCCCATAGACATTGCCCAAAAAGCACGGTTTATCCAAACCGCAGTGTGGCCACACGCCTTCTTTGGAGCAGAAACACAAATCGTTGGAGAATCACACTTTCGTACACTCCGTCGTGAAGCTGCTAATGCATTGATTGGCCCACATCCACAAGTTTCAAGTTTCCTCGCAGTCCACATCTTTTCGCCGCAACTACAAGACCCCTTGCTATATGTCGTTTCTACAGCGGTGACCTTTCTCCGACGGCTATTTCACACCAATCCAACATTAGCGCAGGATTTCTTGCAGGCAGTGATCACCCATACCGGATCGGCGGTTGGACCCGCTGGCGCCTTGGCTCGTTATCTCGACTTGCTCGGTTGGTCACTTAGTCAGAATGGTCGACTAGTCCTGGATGGATACCTTTCACTTTCGATTCAGCATGATTCACTTCGAGCCATTCGACACACTCTACGTCGAGCCTGGGCTTATCATATTCATCGACAAATCTGTCATCGTAAGGGAATTCCCGACTTGCCATTTGACTATGACATCCTGACTCGGAGTCTTCGTAAGTTGTCCATTACTGCTGTGCGTCAAATTGCATACAATCTTACGGGAGGTTATCAAGTCGGCGCGGTCAAGGCTCTATGGACAGCTACGGTTGATGCCTCATGTCCATTTTGCGGGCAGATGGATACGCGCTCACATCAGCAGCTCCATTGCCCAGCTTTCCTACACATCCGCCAGAAACATCCACAAGCTCTCGTATACCTTGCCTCCTGCCCTGCCAAGCTGTGGCTACCCTTGCCACATTCCTTTCCCGAAATTGCCACGCTGCGACAGTTGCTATCATACCGGGGAGCGGCTACCGACCATACTATCATTCGAAATGGTCAGGAGGTGCTGATGTTCTATACGGACGGTTCCGCAGATACTCCCCTTCATACTGAAACTCGTAGGGCAGCCTGGTCCGTTATCCAGTACCACCCAGATGTCACACCACAGCCTTTCTTAACTATCAAGATTCAACACGTCCAGGGGAGTCAATCTATAGCCCGTGCTGAACTTGCTGCAGTTGCTTGGATCGTGGAACACGTTGCGACACATTATGGAAGTCAGCGTACAGTCACAACTACCGACTCCCAATATGTCATCAATATTGTGTCTCAATTGGCCCAAGCCACCTCGGCCCCTTCCTGGCATCGACTTGCTCACGCAGACCTCCTTCAAATCATTTCCGCACATTGGGATCCCTCTCAATTTCACCTACGCAAAGTTAAGTCACATCAGGATCTCTCACAATTACCTCCCGGGAGGGCTCGAATTGACGCACTTGGTAATTCATGGGCTGATCATGCAGCCGTTCGTGCCCGCCAAACCGACCACCCGAATATTCATCGTTTCTTTCAACAAGCCCAGACTTGGCATCGAGATCAATATACTCAAACGGTCAGTATCTTGCAGTACCTTGCTGACTTGAATCTGCATCACTCTCAACTTCAACAACAAACAACCGCGCAGAAGAATCTTGCAGGAACAGGTGACACTGTCGATAATACCTGGGGGATGATTTTTCGCGCGCGAGAATCGTATACTGTCACCCCGCCTGGACAGGAGTTTCATCCAGTTGTGCATCCCACATTTGTGACTGCGTGCGTATGGGGCAACCAGTATGCCGACCTATTCTTGCAATTTTGTGCCTCTCTTCGATGGCCGACTGCTGATGTACATCACACTGACCCCACTGTTACGGCAGGTATTACATGGCATGAGCTTGCCCTCGCCTTTATAGTAAATACAGGGCTTCAATTTCCAACTTGGATTCAAACAAAGGTGAACCAAAAAGCGCAGCCAGCACACTGGCAGGACCCTCGAGTTCTAGCCTTGCCTGCCCATCGTCGGTCCCTCCGGGAGCAAGCGGAAGCCTTTCGTACGATTGTCTTATATCTTCAAAAATACGCAGACAGCCCGCTTCTCCCAGCCTACTCTAAGACAGGATCGCTGAGCCTCACGTATGTCGGTTGGGGTCGTGCCTACACAGGGGGTTTCCCCCTGCGACCAGAGATTCCCAACTCTGCAGCTGTTCAACGCTCCCTTACTCGATATGCTGCCGACTTACATTGTAAGCCCCCATACCATCCTGATGGGCTCGTTCCAATGTACCATACCCAACCAATCTTTCATGTGATTGATGCCATCCCCCTGACATTTGAACAACGTTTTCTATACCGAAGATACCTTCGTCAATGTTGGAATCGTGATGGAGACTTGAATGCAGTGCCTATTCCCCCGGCACCCAATTAGGAATTCAGGCCATATCACCTTTTTCGTTACCCATCTTCGTGCCACGCGGACATTCGGTCTCACGTAGTTAGAGGGTTCCGATCCTGTATAGTGCATCCTTGATCTTGTAGCAACCTGACATTACACTCCACTCCCGGGTGCCCACCAAAATGGTGAAGGGCCCCGGGAAGCGCAGACATCGAGCGCAAGTTTCGTGAGTAGCAAGGCCAGGAACCCCTAGTACCGTCCTTGCTCCTAGTAGTACGGCCAGGAGCCCCTAGTAGCGTCCTTTGCTCCTAGTATATAGTAAGGCCAGGAGCCCTTTGTAGCGTCCTTGCTCCTAGTAGTACGGCCAGGAGGCCCTAAAAGCGTCCTTTGCTCCTAGTAGTAAGGCCAGGAGGCCCTAGTACCGTCCTTGCTCCTAGTAGTACGGCCAGAAGCCTTAGTAGCGTCCTTTGCTCCTAGTAGTAAGACCAGGAGGCCTTAGTACCGTCCTTGCTCCTAGAGGTACGGCCAGGAGCCCCTAGCAGCGTCCTTTGCTTCTAGTAGTAAGGCCAGGAGCCCCTTGCAGAGTCCTTGCTCCTAGTAGTACGGCCAGGAGGCCCCTAGTAGCGTCCTTTGGTTCTAGTAGTAAGGCCAGGAGCCATTTGTAGAGTACTTGCTCCTAGTAGTACGGCCAGGAGCCCCTGGTAGGGTCCTTTGCTCCTACTAGTAGTAGTAAGGCCAGGCGCCCCTGGTACCGTCCTTGCTCCTAGTAGCAAGGCCAGGAGACCCTTACTAGCGTCCTTGCTCCTAGTAGTAAGGCCAGGAGCCCCTAGTAGCGTCCTTTGCTCCTAGTAGTACGGCCAGGCCAGGAGCCCCTGGTAGCGTCCTTTGCTCCTAGTAATAAGGCCAGGAGCCCCTAGTAGCGTCTTTGCTTCTAGTAGTAAGGCCAGGAGCCCCTACTAGCGTCCTTGCTCCTAGTAGTAAGGCCAGGAGACCCTAGTAGCGTCTTTAGGCCAGGAGCCCCTAGTAGCGTCCTTGCTCCTAGTAGTATGGCCAGGAGCCCCTAGTAGTGTCCTTTGCTCCTAGTAGTAAGGCCAGGAGCCCCTAGTAGCGTCCTTGCTCCTAGAAGTAAGGCCTCCTAGTAGTAAGGCCAGGAGCCCCTAAAAGCGTCCTTTGCTCCTAGTAGTAAGGCCAGGAGCCCCTACTAGCGTCCTTGCTCCTAGTAGTAAGGCCAGGAACCCCTAGTAGCGTCCTTTGCTCCCAGTAGTAAGGCCAGGAACCCCTAGTAGCGTCCTTTGCTCCTAGTAGTGAGGCCAGGAGCCCCTACTAGCGTCCTTGCTCCTAGTAGTAAGGCCAGGAGCCCCTAGTAGCGTCCTTTGCTCCTAGTAGTAAGGCCAGGAGCCCCCAGTAGCGTCCTTTGCTCCTAGTAGTAAGGCCAGGAGCCCCTACTAGCGTCCTTGCTCCTAGTAGTAAGGCCAGGAACCCCTAGTAGCGTCCTTTGCTCCTAGTAGTACGGCCAGGAGCCCCTAGTAGCGTCCTTTGCTCCTAGTAGTAAGGCCAGGAGCCCCTAGTAGCGTCCTTTGCTCCTAGTAGTACGGCCAGGCCAGGAGCCCCTGGTAGCGTCCTTTGCTCCTAGTAGTAAGGCCAGGAGCCCCTAGTAGCGTCTTTGCTTCTAGTAGTAAGGCCAGGAGCCCCTACTAGCGTCCTTGCTCCTAGTAGTAAGGCCAGGA